TGGGGTGAAATCATCTTCCCACAGAATTTTGGAGCCGTTGTCTTCCAGGATCCAGTACTGCTTTGAGATGTTCACTGTGATTCCCAGGACTGTTTTTCAACTCTTGTTTTTTTTTTCTTTCTCAAGGTTTTAGAATCTCCTCTTTTCCCTGTTGTTAGGAGACTTCCTGAGACTTCACTGAGTGTCTTCCATCCTTTGCGTTGCCAGGCACTTAACAATCCTTTCAGTCTGGAGTCTCAGGACTTCCCTTCCAGGAAGGTGGGCTTTCAGCTTTGGAAAGGGAGGAGGATGAGATGGATATGATGCTTTATGACCTGCAGCTTGAGGCTTCCAGCATCACTTACCAGATGATAGGCCAAAGATTCAAGGGGCCAGTGACCAATCTCTATACCCACTACCTCTTTTAGAAAAGCTAATTTCTATTTTTACCAAAATATATTAAAATAATCAAATAGAACTTTTTAAATAAAAAAACTTTTATATAAAATCATCAGCCCTCTGCCCCTCCTTCCCTGTTTGCATTCTTCTTCCCTGGAGACACTTTCCACTGTTTCAGCTGTTTTCTTCTGATAATTTCTGCTTAAAAAACAATATGTTTATTCTGTTATTTCTTGATACAGCTCTGCCACGGCACCTGCATGGGAACCATGTTCTGCGCGGGAACAGCTCTGCCATGGCACCCTGGTCAGCTTGCACATTTCCAAACAGGCTACTAGAGCAAAGGGCTGAACCACCGCTAATCTGAGTCTTGGTGGAATGCCTTGTGATCCTCCCCCAGCATGAGAGGGTGGAAGCTATCTTCCCTATCTTCCTCAGAAGGCTGTCACAAGACAGCTTCTTATTGCCTTGAGTTCTGATGAGATATGGGGCTCTCTGCCCTGCCCTCCTCTCCAGGGCTATAGGTAATCAATTCTTTTTCTCTCTTGGCTTTAAAATTTATTCTTGATGTTCTCTAGTTTGGTTATAACATTTTTCTATTATCTCATTTCTGGGAAATTCTCAAATATTCTTTGAAAAAATTACTTTTTTGTCATCCTCTCCACTTTCTCCCAGCATTCTTATTATAGGAATCTTCCCACTTCTTTTTTATCCCATCTCTTTTATGTTCCTGGCTATGATCTCGGAGACTTTCTTACTTCTATTTTCCAACTCACTAAAGCTGCATGCCTCAGAATAGAGCTGCAGAATATAAAACCGCTTAGTCACCATCTAGAACTGGCTCCTCAGCAACAGGTATCCCACAAGTCATGTTTCAGTTATCCAGCCCCTTTTGTTTCAGTGTCATCCTTTTTGTTGTATGGGACCAGGATCACAGGGAGCCAGCACCTTTGGCTTCTTCTTCTTGCTATCTCTGTGAGTGAAAAATTGCCTAAATCGAAAAGTGCCTCATTTTATCTTTACTGGTTGAATCAGTCAAGCCTTGCCCTTGCTTTGTCTCATATGCATGAGCTTGACAGATACTGTCTGTTGATTTTCTCCATGGTAATCGAGATTTTAGTTTTCTTACATTTCTCTTCTCTCATGTTCCCATAGAAGTGTAGTATGATTTTTAAAAATTAAATCAATAGTCAATGTTTATTTTATTATGACTCTGTAAATATTGTTTACTGCTGAGCGATGGTATTGCATCATTACATTCGCTCCAACTTTGTTTTTCCTGCAGTTAACAGTTGCCATACTTTTTTGGTTAGTTTCTTTTTAATAAGTATTGCTAATATGTTCAAAATGTTCTCCATGTATCTGTTAAACATCTAGCTATGTTTTTTCCAAATATCCAAATGTATCCAGTAATCTATCAGTATCTTCCCTTCCCCCACCTCCTCCTTCCCATACCCTCTGTTATCTTGCTTCAGTTTGGATGGGTTGCTCTCTACACCTGGGGCTCAGGTGTCATCTTAGGACATCCTCTTATCAATCTTCTCCTTTGTATTGCTCCTCTGTTTTCTAGAGTCCCTTTGTTCCTTGTTCTTGGCTTAGTCTTTCATTTCACTGAATCATATCCTTCACTATCTACTAAGAAAAGGTGTGTGGGAAGGAAAAATTTTGAGTTCTTACATATCTGAAGATATCTTTATTCCACACTTATCCTTTATTTGGATAAGTACAGAGTTCTAGGATAAAAATAATTTTCCCTCAGAACTTTGGGTGCCCGACACTACTGTCCCACAGCTCCCTGTACTGCTGTTGAGATGCCTGATGCCACAGCTTCCTACTCCGTCACACATGATGTGAAGCTACGAGGTTATTTCTTTTATCCTGGCGTTCTGAAATTCAAAATTATTGCCTTGGTATTTTCCCGCCATTCTACTGGACACTTAGTGGGCACTTTCAACTGGGAGATTTATTTCTTTCACGTCTGGGAAATCTTCTTACACTATTATTATTTTAAAAATAGTTTTCTATCCTTTGTTTTCTCTGTCTTCTGAAACTTCAAACAGATATCGGGACTCCTTGAATAATCCTCTAACACTCTTTTCTCTCCTGATTTTCATCTAGCTTTCTCTTCTGCTTTCTGAGAAATTTCAACTTTTTTTCCCTACTCTTTTGTTGAAGCTTTTATTTTCGCTATCACGTTTTAAATTTCGAATTGCTCTTGCTCATTCTCTGATTATTCCTTTTTCATATCACCCTATTCTTTTTCATGAATATGCATCTTCTTTTAGATCTCTGAGGCTATTCATTAAATGTATACATAAAAATTTTAAAAATCTTTTCTTCTCCTTACGCCATCTCTGTTTCCTCTGAGTCCGTTTTCTTTTTTCAACGTCTGTTTGCTTTGGTCTCTGTCTCTCACTTGGGATACTTTCTGCGAATTCCTGGTGATCCCGGGCTGTCCAGTCCCGCGTAACAGCGAGTGTCAGCGTGAGAGGCAGCAGTGCCTGTGGGCAAGGATTTAACTGGCGGTCCTCACTCAGGCTATTTCATTGGGAGACCATGAAAAGTCGCTACTTAGAGGCCTTCTCTCTGGGGCTAGTAAATCTTCTCAGTAAACTATCCTCCACTCTTCTACCCAGGGGATATGTCCCTGACAGTCCTTTGTTGGGTGGGGTAAGGGAAGGAGTCTGGCAGAGGGCCTTACTATTAACTTGTGGATCTACACTTAATCCTTCTGTTTTCAGCCAGGCAGCTGCCCTCTACTGTTGGTGGGATCTCTGAGTTTGGGGATACTCTGGTTCAATTTCTCTAGAGAAAAATCCTCCAGTCTCTGGCAGGGACATAGTTGCCCAACTGTGTGAGATTGGGAGGGGATCTAGAGTTGTAATTTCTCCATGTATGTCTCTCAACCAGTTCCCTAGAGTTTAGCCAATGCCTCAATCTCACTTCTTGCAGGACCTGCTGCCTTTAAGGCCCCTGCCTCTCCGGGCTCTGTGGGAAGAATCTGCTCACTTCTCACCATAGGTTCCTTCTCCAGGTCCTTCCAACTCTTAGTTTTCTCTACTCCACTAATTCAGTTACCATTCCTCCAGCCCTTTCGGTCATCCCCAAATTACTGAACTCTCTGGTCCACTGATGTCCTCATTTCCATTCAATGTATTCTCATGGCTGTATACTTTAAAAAAAATTGCTGGGGCGGGGGGGTTGTCTATGGAGGGAGAGGAGAGAAAGGCATATGATTAATTTGTTATCTCTAACTGAAAGTTCATACCTACTTAAAAGAAGTGTTTCCAGATTTTATTAATAGTACATACTTTATAGAAAATTTGAGCATACATTAAAGCAAATGCTTATGATCCTACCATCCAGAAATAATCAATATTAGCATTTTGGTTATGATACAATTACCCACTTTTTAAAAAGTAAACTTTTTATTTTAATAGTTTTAGATTTATAGTGTGGGGACCTGGAATTGGCCACCCCAAGATATGTCTCTTTGGCGTCAGGATTATTTGAGGCTCATTGCTTTTGATAAACTGTGACAGGCAAGGAGGCTCTGAGGAATGGAACTTGCCCTTTGTTAGGACACTTGTACATTTGTAAGGTAAATCTCTACCTGTAAAAGGTGCCTCCCTCTCTGTACCAGGAAGAAGAAAGGAGATGACCTTCTCTCTAGGAACTCTTAATCAATACCAAAGGCAAGGACTTAAATCTGCATTTTATTGTGCTTCTCTGGTAACCTCCTGTAACTGACTTCCCTCCCCCTCCCAACATTGGCATTTCTTTAAGGATTAAGCATCTTTCCTTAGGCTAGGAACTGATTGCTGCGCTCACCTGTGACTGCCCAGCTCCAGATGATAGACTTGCCTCCTGCTAAGCCCACCGAGATAGCAGACCATTACCTGCTGTGTCCATCAAGCAACGTGCTGACAGGGCAATCTTGTGACTATTGTGGGAGGGACATTTCAATCACATGTGAAACACCCCGTTTGGGGGTATATAACCACTCTGTGCACCCCACTTCTTCGGTGCCCTTTCTTCCTTCAGGAAGAAAGGCCCCGGGCCATGGTTCCTCATAAAGCTTTGTTTAATTTTCTCTTGCTACTCTGTCTCATGTGAATTTAATTTGTTCTCCAGCCAGACGAACCCCCATTTGGGAAGAGGAAATGTCTTCCTCCCCTACAATAGAAAAATCACAAGGCTGGTATGGAGTTCTCAAACTGTGTATATTTCCTGTCCCAGTTCTAAAATCAAGCATTTCTCCAAGAAGACCTTGTCATTTTATTGGAGAGTGGTACTGGAAACCAAGATCTGGGTACATTTGTCACAATTAATGAACCAATATTGATACACCATTATTAACTAAATCCAAACTTTATTCATATTTCCTTAGTTTTCCCCCAATGTCCTTTTTCTGTTGCAGGATCACATTCAGGATACTACATTATTTAGTTGTCATATCTCCTTAGGTTCCTCTTGGCTGTGACAGTTTCTCAGACTTTTCTCGTTTTTGATGACTTTAACAGTTTGGGGGAGTACTGGTCAGATATTTTGTAGAATGTCCCTCACTTGGGACTTGTCTGATGGTTTTCTTATGATTAGCCTTGGGTTATGGATTTTTGCAGGAGGAAGACCACAGAGGTGAAGCACCATTCTCATCACATCAGATCAAGGGTACATCCTATCGACATGACCTACTACTGTTGATGCTGACCTTGATCACCTGGCTAAGGTAGTATTTGACAAGTTTCTGCACTGTAAAGTTACTTCCCCCCACACCCCTGTCCATACTTCCTCTGTGGAAGGAAGTTACTATGGGCACCCCACACTTAGGGATTGGGGAGCTATGCTCCACCTCCTTGAAGGCAGAGTATCTACACAAACTATTTGGAATTCTTCTGCATGGGAGATTTATCTATTCTTCCTCAGTTATCTGTTTATTCAATTATTTATTCATATCAGAATGGACTCATGGATATTTATTTTGTCCTTTGGGTTATACTACAATAATAATTTACTTATTTTTTGCTCAAATCGTTCCAGCTTTAGCCATTGGGAACTCTTTCAGTTGGCTCCTATGTCCCTTCATGTTCTCTCCGCCCATCATTGTGCAGTTTTTGAGCACTCTCTTATTGTCTGGCTCTATAACATGTTCCTGGGGACCGGCCCTGTTGCCTAGTGGTTAAGTTCAGTGTGTTCTGCTTCGGTAGCCCAGGTTCAGTTCCCAGGTGAGGACCTACACTACTCGTTGGCGGTCAGGCTGTGGCAGTGACCCACACACAAAATAGAGGACTATTGGCACAGATGTTAGCTTAGGGTAAATTTTCAGCAGAAAACAAACAAACAAAAAGCTCCTGGATCATCCTGCGTATTTCCTCTCCCAGTTCTAAAATCAAGCATTTCTCCAAGGTGACCTAGTCCTTTTGTTGGAGAGTGGTATTAGAAACCAAGATCTGGGTGCTAGGTGTGCTTATTGCTACTGGGATGTCATTGCTTCTAGATCCTCTCAGCTGACATAGCAAGGAAATGGATAGGGGTACATATATCTATAAATATTTCCATGTGTAACCACCTGTACCTACATTAAGTTAAACATGAGTTTCCACTAATGTCTTCAACTCTAATTCACTACTGCATGGATCATTCTAGCCTTCTCCTCTTGTTTATCTGTAAACATCTACTTCAACAATAAGAAACCTGGCTCCCACCATCTGCCATCCATTTACTTAAATATTCAATTCCAGCATACATGTATTGTCAACCACTCACTTTTTAAAAGTAGGAATTTGTTTTAATTGTTCCAAAACTACTTATTTGACATGTCCAAGATTCCATAAAGGACTTTTGGTCCTCACAGTCCCTGATGGGTTCCCAGCCTTCAATTTGCCAAACTAAAATGCCAATTTTCATTTGATGTCGTCTTCAGGCTTTGGGTTGGTTGTTATTCTCTGGCCTCTCCCGTTGAAATGTCCTTCTGGAGGTCTACTGACAAGTGCACCCATCCCAGGCACCCCCTGAGTAACAAACTCCTGGTCTACCAAAATCCACACCCTAAATGGTCGACCAGGCCGTGTAAAAGGCAGGGTTTGCCTTTGCTGGGAGAGGGGAGTGTTCTCTACATTCTTCCTCCCTGTAGACAAAGTTCTCAGAAACCACGTTGGCTGCAATGAGAGATAGAAGTATCCCTTAAATGATGTGTTCTCATGTCACCACACGCCACATTGCCCAAGGAAACACTGCTATAAATAGCATTTGGTCTCCTCCCCAGTCCACCTCAGCCTGGTTAACCAAGTGATGGAGACTCGGTGGGAAGACAAGAAAGCAGAAAAACAGATCGACCAAGAAGAGGAGAGGCAGAAGGGCAATGAGGAAAGAGTTGGTGATAATATTAATAATAATATTTATAATTAATGATTAACAATTATTTACATTTGCAAAGAACTTCCACATGAATGGTCTCATTTAGTTCATTAAGTCTAACAACTCAAAAAAGTATACGTTTTTCTTCATTTAAACTATTTTATAGGTTAAATTGGCTTTTGTGGGTTCTAGATTCGGGCATAGGCATGTGACCCAAGCTGGGCCAATAAGAATTGGCCCTGGGATTATTGCTAAAACTAGTGGGAAAGAACCATGTTCTCTTTCTGTTGGGACTGTAGAATAAGTGGGGGTGGATGTTCACTGTATCTAGTTACTTGTTTGCTCGTTTGTTTATGTGCGTGGAGGAAGAGCTGAAGGAAGTATCCCGAAATGTTAGCATCAATTAATTTTTGGTAGTATAATTGATGATATTTATGGTTTTTACACATTTATGTATTATTTATGTTTTCTATAGTGTATCACATTACATTAACATAAATTTTTCTGTTATAAATTATTTTTAATTATTTTATATTTATGTTATAAAATAATATACATATATGGTAATATATTTATAATATGTTTATCATATACTATTATATAAATAATAGATTCATGCAATTTTTACTCTAATATAAGGCAGAAGTGCTTTAACCCCCTCATGCCCATTTATTCCTTCCCTTGGTGACTGTCTCAAACCCAGTTCCCTATGCCTGGCAGAACATGCCTCCTTAACCCCAGGATGATCCAGCATCCTAGAACAACTTTCTCAAAATAAAGTATTTTACCTTTTCAAAGTATTTGGGAAAAAGAAAAATTTCAAAGTAAAACATTTAGGAACTGAGAGGCTCTCTACTGGTTTTGTGATATCCCGTCAGATCCTAGGCCTCCTCAAAGAACAGAGTGGAGAGAGGCTCTGCTCTCACAGGGCGCTCTCACTCCCAGGCTGGCTGGGGTGGGGGGTGAGGGGGGACATGGGGACGAGGCGGGGAGGGGAGGGACACACAACAATGACACACACACCAGGGGCAGATGCCCCGCTTTTACCTGACTTTGTAGTCCTTTTAGAAAGAGCTCAGTGGGGTTTGCACTGGCTTTGATGCTCTCAGTAGCCCCTCCTGAGAGAGAACAGATGGCAAGCCCCACCGAAAGAGGAACAACCCCAGGCCCAGTAAAGCCATTTCCTGGGTTCCCTCCTCCAGTGTCTGCCAGGACTCCTGGGGATTCTACACGGACCGGGATGTTCTCCCTGCCGGTCACCAGCTCAGTCCTGCTCTCTCCCACTGTGGACACAGGCCCCTCCCTCAACTCCCCAAAGCACAGCGGAGGCCCGGCTGCAGCACACAGCAAAACTCCCCACAAACCCTGAAAATGCCATTCATTCCAAATGAAAACCACCGTTTACAAATACAACGACGATGCAGGCCCTGTAGCTTTACATTGTTCTGAACTGCATTGTCTCTTTTCCAGAATAGGTTTAAGTTTTATCCTTGCATAATCCAAAGACCTATTAAAATATTTTCCTAAAAACAAAAAGGATTATTCCCACAAGAGCAATTTGCTTCCACCTCCACAGGAGATGGAGGAACGGGGATAAAACCCCCAACCCGCGCAGTTTAGATTAGCAGTTTGTCCCCTGTTCTCACATTGCAGTTTTCAAAAATAGCAGAGCCCACTTTCTGCACCCTCCAGCGGATACCTATCTGGAAACAAAAGGCGGAGTCTGAAAGAGGGGCAAGGACTTGGCTGGCCGGGGACTATGGGAAAGACTCAAGAGGAGGGACAGAGGTCAGTGGACACAGAAAATGCACGTTTTCTCGAGACTGGGGCTTTACACCTTCAGAGTCAGGTATGGGGAGAGGGCAGGGTGAGTGTTCATTATTTCTTCTTTAAAGGAGGCGCCTGGCATAGACCACTTCTCAGGCCTCTTCCAGCTCCAAACTCTCCACACCTCAAGGAGGTCAGGGAGGCAAGGGGCTGGCTCCCCAGGTGTAGGTTTCCACAGGCCTCTTCCCGGATTGCATCAGTGCTGCCAGAGTGTTCACTCGTTCTCCCACCCCACAGGTGCCTACACCTCCCTCCGCCCCCACCTAAAACTTCTTAGCTTCAGATAACACCCTTTTGTTCTCCTTGTGACTCCACACCCATGGGGAGAGGGAATGAGGAAACCTTCGGGGAAGTGCCACCTATCTGATGAAGGTAAGAGGCTGCCCTGCACGCTGCTGTGCCTTCCAGGGGAGCCTGTTCCCAAGGTTCCCCGCCCAGGTCAGGAGGCGTTTTGGGGCTTGGCTTCCTGGCAGGGGAGGCTTGAAGGCATTGAAGGGGCGGGGGTGCTGAGGAGGGAGGTGAAGGCCCTGGGCTCATAAATCTTCATCTTGGGCATTCATTAGGGTTTTTTTTTTTTTTCCCAGGGAATCCTCCAGGGAAGCGGTGAGTGTCTTCCAGCGGCTTCTCACCAGACTCACGATCAGGTCCACACTTCTTAGCATGGCATCCAGGATTCTGCAGAATCTTGCCTCAGCCTTCCTTGCCAATCCCCTCTTCTGCTCTCTCTCCCCAGACCCACTGAGCTCTAGCTACATAGAACTATTACTATTTCCCTGAACATGCATTTTGACACCTCTGTGACTTCTTTGCATGTACTGTTTCCTCTGCCTGAAGTGCCTGCTGCGGCATGTCTTCTTAAAGAACTCCTATTCACTCTTCAGGACCCTACTAAAAAATCAGACGCCTCTTCAAAGCCTTGCTTGACTCCCCAGACAGGGTTGGTTGCTCTGTGCTCCAAGGCCTAGCATTCCTTCCCTTGTTCCTCACCCAGTAGGATAATTATTAGGATTTGCATGTTTATTTTCTTCCTAGTTGCTCCCCCAGGGCAGGGACTGTGTCATTCATCTTTGTAAACCTGATGCCAGGCCCTAATAATTACTCAGGCAATATTTGTGTAAGGCTAAACACCATTTCTGCTGGATTTGGAGTATTTTTTGAGCAGCATTAAGAGAATTTCTGTCACCATGGACGTCCCCTGGCCCACAGTGACATCTCTGTATTAGTACAGCATCAGTACGGCACTCCTCAGGTAATTTGACGTCTGATTGATTTATTTTACATATTAACCCACTGGGTTTCTGTTACCATCATCAGATGAAGAGACTGAGACGCCAAGAGATTGAGCAACATCGTGTTCGAGGTTACAGTACATGCGCGGCAAAGCTGGGACCTGAACCCAGATGTTCTGGCTGCGAAATCCACAAGATCTGACCACACCAGAGATTCGCAGTAAATGTCCTTTGACTCTGCAGATCAGCATCACCTGGGAACCTGATAGAAATGCAGATTGTCGGGCCCCACCCCAGACCTGCTGAATCAGACGAGGGTAGGCCCAGCAGTCTGTGCGTTAACCAGCCTTGCAGGGGATTCCGCTGCACGCTCGAGTTAGAGAACACCAGCCTACACTGTAGCTGCTCCAGCGGCTTCCCTGGAGCCAGAGGAGGGCGCTCCAAGGCCAACTTTCACCCTTAAACAGTCGTGGCATCTGGGAGGGGCAGGGGTAGCAGGTTGGGGTGGAAGGGAAGAAAACGCCTGGACTGGGAGTTAGAAGCCAGAGTTCTAGTCCCACCAGTTTTGCAGTTATTGGCTGAGTGATTTTGAGCACCTCTCTGGGACTCAGTTTTCTCATCTGTAAAATGAGATGTTGATTAAATGATCTCATCTCTGATTTCCCTTTACATTATGTTGTCCAGCTCTCCTTTGGAATTTGGTGTCTCTGCCAGGAATGGAATGAAGACAGTATGAGTGCTCATTTTTAATGGATTTTTCCCATACTTGGAAATTAATAGCCCCCAATTCCAAATCCTCAGACCAGCTATCCTCTACCTCCTTCCTTAGGGGCAGAAAGTGAGAGCAAACGTTGGAGTTGACTGGTGAAACCATTAAGCAAAAAATAGAAAAGCATTTGATGGTGTTGGTTGGGACTTCCCTCCGCTACCTGGGGCTCCTTCATGTGGGCCTTTTCCCTGATCCCTCAACAGTCACCTGCTTCCCCACTGTGACTCTGCCAGACCCCTTTGCCCACAGACCATCTCCCTGTCACCCCAGAACTCACGTCCTTTCCCTGCTCCTTTCTATGGGGTTGCCCGATTCATAGGCTCTTGCTTCCCCAACATTCTTCAGAGGAGGGAGAGGGGTGATGTGTCAGGGTGACTTACTAGGTGTGCTAGGGGCTTGGTGGCCTGATGAGGAGCCCCACGGACACACTGAAGCCCTATCCTACTGGTTTCGTGTGGACCTGAGGGCCCTCCCCAGGGCGCACCTCAGATGAGGTAGGGCTGTACCCACAGGGTACCCGGTGGGCCCAGCATTGGACTGGCAGCTGGAAAACCTGTCCACATCGGGCTGGAAAGAAGGAAGAATGCTTCTTGCCCCTTTGAGATGATTATGAAAATTTGAGACAAGTAATGGCATCGTAAAAGTAGAGACCTGAATCAGAAAGGTGGGTAGAAGAATTTTAACCACTCAGGACCCGGGTGTCAGCAAGAGAACATGGCTAAACTCTCAAGTCCTCAGCGGCAGTTTTAGAAGTTGGTCAAAGAACCTGTCCCCTTCAGCAAAACCACACATGCCCGATAAACAGCCCGAGTGTCTGTCAAATCAGTATCACGCTCAGAGAGAGACTTTCGGGATGGTTTCCAGAGTCCAGGAAAAGCCTTAAAACGCAGGACAGAGGTGTTGCCAGCAGCCTTGGGTTAAAAGCCAAAGAAAGTGGTTATTAAACAAGGCCCCTGGAAGAGCTGGAGCCAGCGTAGACTGGTCATCAGCTGAAACTCACTGAGGCTGCTCTTTCAGCTGCAAGTGACCCTCTCGGAGAGGCTGCCTACGTCCTGGATAGAGCATCAATGAAGCTCCACATTAATGAAGAATATGTCTGCACTCCAAACTTATCGAACTGTGTACATTAAATATCTTCAGCTTTTGTATCAATCATGTCTCAATAAAGTGGTTTTAAAAGAAAGAATATGTGTGTGAATTTGTGTGTGGTTATGGCTTCTAATATACCCTTTCTATCAACTCACATTCTCAACAGTTATTGATCTCAACCCAGTGCCGTGGAGCCTCGTGTTAACACCTTCGGTGGATGGCTGCTCTCTTTGCCCGTTCTGAGCCTCCCACGGTGGGCCTGGTGGTTGAGTTCAGCCTGGAACCTGGGACCTGCCTCAGTGGCCCTGGACTTCCCGGGATCAGCAGGGCTTGAAGGCCTAGGGAAGATGGAGGCATAAGTCAGGCTTCCTGGGACTGCTCCAGAAGGGCTCTCTCTCCCTCAGTCTGCTCCTCTCCCAGCTCGGCCTGAAATGGGCCTGCTCTCCTGAAAGACTTGGATTAAAGACTTGGATTCTGCATATGTTCAGGATGGGTTTCAACCTCGCTCCTTAGAGTCTCCTAAGCAGCCTACTCTCTAGCTTATACGACTTCACAGACCACTGAGCACTCATTTCTGAGGCTGTCTTCCATCCAAAGACTGGCCAAGTCTGAACACATTGGTCCTCTAGCTGTCCCTGAGGTTGTGCAGGAGAGAGGAGACGTGGGCTGTAGTCTGAACAAGCTGATGCAGTCTAGCTCTGGGCCTTTGGCAGGTCGTTGTGCTTCTCTGGGCCTCAATTTTATCATCTTTAAAATGGGAGTGTTGTTTCAGCTACCCTCTGTGGTCTTCCACCTCTAACATTCTAAAATTCTAGAGCCCATCTTGGCCAAAACAGAAGGCTCAGAGGTCCTGTGCATCACCCCACACATGCCCAGGGAGAGGTAGACGGGGAGTACGTGCAGTATCAGGACAGAGGAGAGGACTCGGCCAGATGAGTACTTTCCCTTCATGGACTTGGATTTGAGAAGCGCCTGTTGGGTGGGGCCTGGCTGGAAGGAGTGAGACAGTCTCCCTCAGACCTCCCCCTGCCTGAGCGGTTGCCTCAGAGGCTGTTACTTAACTCTCCTTACCACTTTCCAGGGTGGGGCAGGGAAGGGCAGATGGGAGCCGCTGATGCAATAGGCAGACGCAAGCCTGTGTTGTTCTTCGAAGACGAAGCAAAGGTCAGCTGGGCTGGGTCTGGCCAACTGGGCTGCAGCTGCAAGGCCCTGCACTTTGCAGAGTTTCATCTTCCTCTTCTCTCCTTGACTCTTTCCCCTTTTAACTTAAGTAGGGTTCACTCTCTGGTCGTCAGAGCGAGTAATTGATACTTTGTGTTAGGATTTACACACAGCCATTCACTTGTGCTCTTTAACCTCTAGTGGAAGAGAATATCCTTGCCTACTAGGAATGCACATGTTCACATGTATGGACACACACATGCTACACACACCACACACACCCCAAACACACCCACACCACACACACACACACAGTGGAGGCACTCAGAAATGGGATGGTTGTTCTGAGAATCTGCTCCCACCAGACCGTTTTCCCCACGAGATCTTCCAGGAGGAAGCGGATCCAATCAGAGGATCAGAGAGCATCAGAAGATCTGGAAATTTCCTTTGTATAGCCAAAGCTTCAAAATATCCCGTAGGGTATGCCATTTCTATGCAAGGCCCCATCGATCAAATATGAATGAGACTCCAGGCTAGTTTCCCATCTCCCGGGGATCTGGATGCCCAGAACACAATAACTTTTAATCTTTTAAGTTAAAAAAAATAATAATAAAGAGTCTGTGAGGGGGAAAAAAAGAGTAGGTGCATCCAGACCTTGATAAAAGGAAAATTGCTAAATATTGCACTCAAGCTACCTTAACAATGAACAACTACACTTCCATCATAAATTGCAAAGAAGTTGTCTTATCAAATCCATGCTTCAAGGCTGCACATTCCTTGCCAGAGGCTCTGGAAGAAAAGTCTAGTCCAGGTGGGCCCTACGGCACTCATTATTGTAATCATCATAATTTACTTTGTACTTACTATGCGCCGGGCCCTGTGCTATGTGATTAACATGAATTACCACATTTCATCCTCACAAAAACCCTATGACATAGAGTCTCTTATTATCCCTATTTTACAGATGCAGAAACTGAGGCACAAAACCTTAAGAAAATTGCCCAAGGTTACAGAGCTAGTAAGTGGTAGAGCCAAGGGGTCGATGTGGTTCACCTGAGTCTGGAGCCTATGCTCGTAACCATCTGGAAAACTCATATACAAACAGAAGATTTAAGTGGGATAGAACCCTTCAAGTTACAAAAGGATTCACCAGAACGTTCTCTAAATCCCAAATTCCTCTATAGCTTCAGTCAATAAAATCTGTAATTTTATTTTACGGAGTTTGTTTTATGTCCAAATATAAGGAGCTCGTTTTTAAATGTAAAATATAGACTTTTGCTCTCTGGGAAGGGTGACGCCTAAGCCTTCCATCACGTCAGTTAATTCTGATATGATTAATTCTGTTAATAGTTAACTATTGACTTATTAGTACTGAATAACTAAATTTAGAAAGGAGCTTTGAGCAAGATAGTTTAAAATTTAAGTATGAATTTTATAGTTATACATTTGTTTGTATATATTCACACAGAATTGAATTTAATCAAATGGATACGCTGAAAGAGTGAAATTCTAGAGTTATCATAGCAGAGCGGGAGTTGGGGGTTTTCTTCTTGAATCAGCCATCAACTTGATTTATAGATGTTTTATCTCATTAACCTTTATGTCGTGGAGCTAATTAGTGACTCTGGAAACTGCAAAACACACTCGAAGCAATTGCATACCTCTTCAACTCCACCCTCCACCAAATTAAATTGGACCCAATTATTCCGAATCATAGAAGACGTTTTTGAAAGGCTTTGCCTCCTTCATCTGAAATGGCTCCCTGGAATGAAAATCAAACCTGATGTGGATTCTGATTTTCTCTTTTAGCCGCACACCATATTACATCAAAACCATTTGAATCCTTCAGAAGCTCTAGCTTCAGAGAGAAAGAAACATGTGCAGATTGTTGTGATTCTCCCTGTCTGGGTAAAGTTGTCCCAGGACCCTGTGGAGCATCCTGAGGATCTTGCTGCCTGCCTTCTGCCTGCTGGTGAGCATCAGGGTCGCCATGTCGGAACCCAGTCCTGTTCAGGAGGCTGCCATCTTGAGGATGGAGAAGGTCCCTTGGGTACTAACAGCACGACAGGCATCCTTTTGCTTCCCTTTTCCTGTTCTTGTTTCTGGGACCAAGACCCTGAGGCATAAGTAGTTACAGCCTTTCTTCCCTTCCAGTCTTCTGGAGGAGGCTTCTGAGCTGCTTGGCCCTCCGTTCCTTGCAGTTGGATTAAGGTGATGGGCTGGGATGGAAGGATGATAGAAATTAAACAGGCTAAATTAATTTACTATGAAAGAGTGTGAAGCTACTCTCTGGAGAGAGACTGGGCTGGGTGCGGCTGTAGAGTGGGAGATTAGGTGAGAAAAATGGCCACTGTTTCAAGAAAATTAGTAAAGATTTACATTATTTTTAAGGCATTTGGAGTTCAACTTATGTTTCTTTTGACTAGGACACCACATTCAAACAATTTTCTGAGAGAGGAAAGTGATTTGGGTAGAAAAATCAAAGACGACTTACAGTAGGGTTTTCCAAATTTGCATGGTCTTGGAACAGGACTGTGATGCGTAGGGAGTGGTAGAGAGGGGCCTGTGGGATGAAATGTTATCGGATGGGGGCCCTTCACCTCCCTTGGATGTGTGGGTGAAGTTGAGGTTTCTTTTGGGGTGATTTCACATGAATAGCAAATCCCAGTGCTGGTGTAAGGTGACACCAAACTTTCATTTCTTTCCTTGGTTTAGTTTGAAAATGGACTAGATTGTTAGCATATTTAAGAATTTTTGGTGTGGGTTCTTGCTCCTTCAGTGCCAAACTGATGTTCTAATGCCATTTGACATGTCTCCCAGCTGAGTGACTCAGCCCTGGCCTCATGGACCCTCCACAGGCTCTCCCTCCCTCAGGGGTGCAGGTGTGTCCCCACCTCGGTCCAAGGCCAGGAAACTAACCACAATCTCCTGGCTATGAGATGTAGCCTCCTGCCTTGAAGGCAAAACAGGGTGAAACACAGGCAGGCAGGATCCCAAACCACAGAAGCTCGAATTAGGTCATCCTTGTGAACATGACAACTCGCTCGCTGTCTCTCTCGGTCAACAAAAAGAGACATGGACCCATTCAAACACGGCTTTAAGAGACTGATGATTTGCATGCGATGGTGACTTGCCATCCATTGAATGCTATTCCAAGCAACCGAGAAAGTTAATTAGCCATTCTTTTTCACAAGCCAAGAAAGGTGCAATGGCACATTCACACTAACTTATGGCAGGACATTTGAGTGCAGAAATTTAAATCACTTGTCTGGTAGTCAATGAGTACCATGTCTGATTTCTTTTTCCCTCCTCAGATGCACCTGGCAGCTTGGGGGACTGCGTGCTGGGCAGGAACCATCTTTCAAAGCCTCTGGAGAAGTTGCAGAGACACTCACAGGATTGTCCCTCTGTGGGACCGGGCTCTCTGGGACAGTTAGAATTAGGTTGAGGATGAGGTTAGCGGGGAGGAAGCAGTGAGGGAAAATTATTATTCCTTTGAAAATAGTTATTCAGGGGAACTTCGCCATGGCTGGTATGGCCATTAACATGTCATTTTACCAGACGTGGAAGCCAGCCCAAGGCAGAGGTAGGCGAGCCCTTGGGAATGCACACTTACTGTTTACTCAGTTCATTTGCGGGAATCAAGAAAATGCTACTGCCTGATGAGAAAAAGACACTGCTTTAGAAGGCACTCTCCCATGTTCACAGTATGTTTAAAATAATTGCTAGGAGAAAGGGCCCGGCGTTTTGAAGAATCTGTCAGAAATCTTCAGCCTAACTTGTTCCTAGGGCAGGATGAGAATGGATTTATTTAGGCTGAAATCCTAACTTCTACTGTCAAGGTTATCCAGAAAGTCTGGATAATGCTACACACAGGAAAAACAAAAGAAACATTTTCTTTTCTAGGCTGGCTCCCCTGAAGACGAGGAATAAAATCACTACAAATATGAGTTATTGATCCCTTCCTCTAAGGCTAGTTAATAACAAACAGTGTTTGTTCTTTGTAGGATTTAATGTTTCCCCAACTGCTTATATCACATGGATTTTGGACTTTATCTACAAGAGCCATACTGGTTACCTTTGACTGCAGGATATGTCTTACTGACATCTGTTTTAAATGGAGGAGAGAGAAGAGTGCTAGAATTGATCCTGAATGTATTAAATTCTGCCCATTTTAAACATGTTTGAGGCAGCTTCATGAAATCACTCCTATAGAACAGATGAGTTCTTTTTGGAGCTGGGACTTCTCTGTCACCCACGTCCCCACTGGTTGGCTCAGTCCCTGGTTCTTATCGCAGACCTACCTGAGAAGGCCAGTGTATTTTCTTGGCTGTATTTCCACATAGCCTTTTAATCTTCACAGATGAGACAACTTGACACACTTCTGTCTCACATGGCAGTGAATTCTTCTCTCTGCCAGCATCAGGATCAATCTTGTCCTGGGCAGAGGGCTAGAAAGACCTTGGCCCTAGTAGGCAGCATCAAGTAATGATGGTTACTGGCCTCACTCTAGCCTCATGCTCTGGCTCCAGAAACTGGACTCTTACCTCACCCATTTGCTTGACAAATATTTGTTGAGCACCTATTATGTGGCAGGACCACAAGTATGGCAGTAACTAAAACACATGGAAACCCCTGCGCTTCCCTAACTTCAACTCTGTTTTAAGGAACTGAGTTTTGTCCTTTCATTCCCAAGTTTCAACCTGGTTCCCTGATCAGTAAGTCACTTCTTCTAGAACAATGTTTCTCAAACTTTAACGTGCATACAGATCACCTGGGGATCTTGTTAAAGTTCAGATTCTGATTCAGTGGGTCTAGGGTGGGCCCTGAGATTCTGAATTCCTAAGAAGCTCCCAAATGCTACTGCTGCTGCTGCTAGGGATGTTGCCTGGGTTACACTTTGAGCAGCAAGGATATACAGCTAGCAGCATTGGCACCATCTGCGAGTTTGTTAGAAGTGCAGAATCCCAGGCCTCATTTCAGAGCTACTGGCTCAGAATCTGCCCTCTGACAAGATGCCCTGGAGTTGAGAAACAATGACCTAGAACAATGATTCTCAAAGCACACGCAACATCAGAAGCACAAGAGGAGAATTATAAAGTACCTGCGGGTCTCCATCCCCCACCCACTGAATCATATCATCTGGTGGTGAGCACCCCAGTGATTCCGATGGATACAGGTTTGAAAACCTTAAAGGCATTTTTGGAGGTCACTTTCCTAGGTTTGTGGGACTTTACAATGGAAAAAAACCTTGGAGATGATCTGGTAATCATCTGAGATGGTGTGCTCCTCTGATGTTATCATCACACCAGTCCCAGATAAGAAACCGGGGCCAGGTTCTTGACTAGGGTCTCATGGGTGGTGACTGGCGGAGTCGGGCCTTCGGCTTCTTCGAAGTTCTTCTTCCACCACAGCTGCCTCTCCTGCTGCTGCGATGCCGCCCAGCTTCCCACCCACCTCAGGAATGCCTCTCCTTGACCATGACCTAAATCTTCTCTTCCTCCAGCCGAGGGTTTTAGTCCATTATCTCCAAACCTCCACACCCTCACAGCTGCTTTCCTTCAGCCCCACAGATGCCATCCTCTCTCCACCCACGTCACCCACCAACCAAGCCACATGTTTAATTGGTTGACTTTCCCCAAAGATCGATTCTGTCAGCCTTTTGATAATGTTTGCGGCTCTCCTTGGGGCAGGTGAAGTATGTGGGGGGGAAGGGTGTTGTCTGCTGGACTTCCATCCATCTTTCAGGAAGGCAATTAAACTTCTTGCTCTTTGTCTTCTCTTTCAGCATCCCTTTCACTAAGTGTTCTGCAACCTTCTGGAATGTATGAGAACACCACCTCTCTTTGCTTGCAGCTTCAAGACTTCCTCACTCTTTCAAACTGGCCATTTTCTTTCCTCCCCTCCCTACCCAGGTAGGTGCTGCTCACCATGCGAAGTTAAATGGACATACCTGGAACTTATGGTCTAAGCTAGGGGTCTTAACTTGGAATCCACAATTCCCTAGCACAATACTTTTCAATCTTGAGGGTACACTAGAATCTCCTAGGGAGTTTAAAAAACCCCGTGTCCAGACTACACTTAGATCAGTTAAATTAACAACTTTGGAGGTGGGAGGCAGGCATCAATAGTTTATAAAGCTCCCTGGGTGATCCCAATGTGCAGCCAAGGTTGAGAAGCACTGGAAAGATGAGGTAAAATTGTTTCTGGATGGGTGCACGTGCATTTCCTGGAAAGGTGAGGCCATGGCTTTTAGCAGATCCTCGAAGGCTTCTGTGACAACTTTCTCCTTTCTCCCTCTCCAAGAAGGCTCAGAGACGATCTAAGATCATTAATAAGGAAGATGAACTTACCAATTATTAAGGTGTCGACGAAAATAATCCATAACCAATCTATAAATGAAAATTTGGGTGCATTTATTCTGAGCTTAAATCTTAGGATTATAACCCGGGAGAGTCTTTCCACAAAGGAACAGAGCACTCCAAAGAAGTGGGGGTACACAGGGCGGTTATATACCCTCAAAGAGGGTGTTTCACATATGCTTGAAATGTCCCTCCCACAATAGTCACAAGATTGCCCTGTTGGCACAGCACTTGATGGACACAGCAGGTAGTGGGTCTGCTATTTTCGTGGGCGTAGCAGGAGGCAAGTCTATTGTCTCCAGCTGAGTGGTCACAGGTGAGCGCAGCAATCAGCTTCTAGCCTAAGGAAAGATACATAATCCTTAAGAAGTTGCACCTTTATCTCAAGGGCCTTTTGCTCTTGCCATAGGGAATCTCTAAAGCAGATATACAATGCATGCTCAACGGCCTCGCTCAGGCCCTTTTGGAAAGACAAGGTCAGGCCGAATTAGGTTTACACCAAATGGCTTCCTCATATATTCCAATATATCCTATTACTTGCCATTTTTATTTGTCAAAGGAAACACCAAATACATGTGTAAACTAAATAACTAGGCATTAACATGCAGACCAGAGGAAATGTCTATCGTTGCTTCACAAGTGAAGGGGGGCTTTGGGAATGCTGTGTTTGGTGGGATGGGACTGTCCCTGCCTCTCTCCCAATTAGCCAGGAAAACGATGTGATTTCAGTTGCTGCCACTACAGAGACTTGATCACATCACTAACTTCCTCCCTGCCCACAGAACCAAGGCCTCACCCCCAGCTATAACATCCTGGTTCCTTCATTCTCTAGCCCCAGTCATCCTTTCTAACTCCCCTCCATCATTTCTTCACCCACTCTGGCCTCAGGAGGATGCTCACCGTTCATGTTTTTCGACACCTTTGTGCCTTTGCTTCATTCTTCCCCTGGTTCCTCCCACTCGCCCTGTCTCAGGTGGAGCTCGGAGGGGAGGTAGGATTGAAGAGACAGAGAGTGGTTGGAGGTAGAGTTCCCTGAGTATGGAAGATGCTCAGTTCATTTTTGTCAAAGTGAGTGGGGCGGCCACCTTGTGTTAGGAGCTCCTGCCTGGAGGACTAGGGGGATGATATACAGAGATTCAGGAGCTCTGGCCCTCAAGGGACTTAGATGCTGGGGAGGAGGCAGACAGTGATCTGAGGAGCGCAGGAAGCATCATAGATGCTCTGAGAGGAATCTGTGGAGGGGAGTTGTGTGGTAGGATGCAGAGTGGAGGGTCAGGAGAGACTGAGTCCAGAAAGGGACTGCTACCCAGCAGGCTCCAGTGAAGAGAGATGGGGCTGAATTAGGAGGGTGAGGCCAAATTATGGAGGGCATTGAATGCCAACCTGAGGATACCCACTGCACACAGACTGAACCTGGTTTGTGCCCCCAGGTCTTCCCAGCTTTTAGTCTCACTTGCTCAGGAAGTCTTTGCTGTAATACTAACCTGTTGAGGCAGAGGACCCAATTTTGAAGCTGTCCCATCCATCTGGAGGTGTCTGAGCTTGTGAACGTGTCAGCTTTTTGGAGGGAGCCCCAGCTTTCTCCTGCAGAGTCTCCCTGCCCCCACTGCCCACGTTCGCAGGCCCCTGGGACACGTCAGGGAGCCAGGATCACTGACCCTGTAGACAAGAACGGTGGCTGTACTTCCCAAACACAAATCAGGCAAGACATAGGTATGTCAGTGTGCTGGACAATGGGCAGTCAGGGACATCTCAGCACAACTCAGGAGGAGGGGAACAGCCTCCAGATCCTCAGGTTTGAATCCCAGTGCTAGCCACTGGGAATGTGGTGGTGACCAATGCAACACAGACACTGTGTCTAAAGCCCTTCAAGAATAGATATGCAATAAATGTTGTTCTTTTCCTCCATCTACTTCCCTGGGCTGAGAATCCAGGTTAAATAGCTGAACCTTCTCCTCCCTTCTACACCCCGGACAAAAGAGGATGTCTGCCCCGTCCCCTAAGGACCACACCCTTTCCACTTGGGCTGCCAGGATGCTCTAATCGTTCTGCACTTTAATAAGCCACAGAGGGCTCATTATGTAAATTCAGGCAAAAAAACAGACTCCAAATCATGAATTACTTCTGTATTAATAAACATTTTAATTAACACTTACAAACTACCAACAATGTGTTAGGTGTAAATAGCAGGTGAATGCAGGTTGAAGTAATGAGACTAAAAAGCCACTGCTGCTTTTCTACTCCATTCAAGAATTTCAAGAAACAGTTCATATGGTATCTCCTTTTAAAAGAAAGCTTATAAATTCTCCTGAACCCTGAAACTATCGACTATACACAAATACTTATCATTGTTTGCTATTTAAACATAAATATTTATTAATAATTTAACATTTGTATGATGCCTCTCAGATCACTCATTCATTCACTCATTCACTCAGCAGATAGTTAATAGATGCAGGAGGCATTGATCTAAGCACCAAGATATAGCAGTGAGTGAATCTTAAGTTCCTGAGCTTAAGAAGTTTACATTCTGGTGGACAAAGAGAGAATAAGGACATCAACAAGCACACAAAAAATATTAAATGGTGATGAATGCTATAGGAAAATATAAAGCAGCGTAAGGAGAATAGGGAGTGTATGTGTGTATATGTGTGTGTGTGTGTGTGTTGCTTTTTTACATAGGGTGGCCAAGGAAGGCCCCACTGGTTAGGCAGACATTTGAGTGACAGGATTTACTCATGGACTAGATATAGCACACGAGACAAAGAGGTGTAAAGCTGGCTCCCAGGTTTTTTACTTGAGCAACTGGAAAAATGGAATTGCCACATACTGACATGGGAGAAGCCTGGGGGATGTGGAGCAAGATTGGGAATTTGATTTTGGACATGTGACGTCAAGTAGGCAGTTAAACACACCAGCCTGGAATTCAGAGGAAACGTTGGCACTGGAAATACAAATTTGGAAGTCTTCAACCCATAGATATTTTTAAAACTAAAATTAGGTGTGACCATTAAGGGAATGAGTGTGAACAGAGGAGAGAAGAGAGCAAAGGACTGAGCCCCGGGCACGCCTCCATTGAGAGGTGGGTGAGGTGAAAACAAAGAATTGTTGGTGTGGTGGGAGGAGAACCAAGATAGTGGATGCCTGGACACCAAGTGAAGAAAATGTTTCAAGGAGGACAGAGTGAATAACTGTGTCAAACGATACTGATAGATGCTGAGTAAAATGAGGTCTGAGAATCGACAATGGGATTTGATATCATGGAAGTCACTGGGGCCCTCACTAGAGGGGATTCTATGGAGAGGAGGAAGGGGAGGGGGCAAAAGTTTGATGATAGACTGAGAGAGATACTGTCTGTAGTCTGTTCGGGCTGCTATAACAACATACCATAAACTGGGTGGACC